AATGCAAACATTGGAATTACAGCAAATCATATTGACAAGAAAGCAACATAGTTAAAAAAGTGCACTTATGCTGCAGTAGAATACAGCAGTTTATAAAGTTCAGAAGTGGAATCTTTTTGGACATATTCACAGGATATACAAGTTCATTAAATTTATGTAGAATGAGGAATTTACACTTGGACAAAGATCTAGGGCATAAGAAGACAATCGTTGCATAATTTTCTTTTAACTTAGGATACTGATGTTTATCTTTAATGTTCCTTTGGAATGCCGGGAGATCAGTTTATTGGGGTTTTAAGTGGTCATGCTTAGTTAAGGGGCATGAGAAAGTGTAATGATCGGGAGTTCCCTGTTTCGCACATATATAGATGTCTGGAGGTTTTTGGCTATATTCTGAGTTATTTGAAAACTTTACCATTATGTTTTAGTCAATTCAGTTTTCCATTTTAATTTGGTGGCGTACAAAACAGCTCTTAATACAGATTCGAATAAATTACTATGGCATAACAGATGTGTAAGGAAATTAACTGGTACCTTTTTAAGATAAATAAAAAGCTTTTGATGATTTAACCGTTAAGTTCACTAATTGCATGATACGTATAGTGTTGATATTGACATCAGTATACAGAATGTTATTAATATTGAACAAAACAAGATGTTAAATGTGGAATTGTACACTATCAATGATCAAAAGACTATCTTCATCATTAAAAAGACTATTATTAAAATTAAATTGCTACTTTTCTTAAGATAAATAAAAAAATTTTGATGTTTAACCATTAAATTTACTAATTGTATGGTACGTATAGTGTTGATGTTGATATCATTATGAAGAATTTTATCAATACTTATCAAACCAAGATGTTAAATATGGAATTGTACACTAACAATGATCAAAAGACTCTCTTTATTAGTCAATTTATGAAGCTTATTTTATGATAGTAGTAGATGTAATCACAAATGTGCACTTTTGCATGAAATTACTCACGTTTTGCTAATTGTTATTTTCGGTCGGTAAAGTGCAAGAACCATAAAATAAGATTCTACTCAATAATGTGATGTTTATTAATGTTCTTTCTGAATATTTCGAAGACACTTTTATTTCATTGCAGTTTACTGGAAACTTCTGTCAACGATATGATTGTTATAGCGTGATAACATAGGAATTAGGAACTCCACTAGGAATGCAAACCACTTAAGAAATCTACGGTGTTTAGAAAAATCCGATTAAAATAATGGCAATATTTTATACCTGCTCCACTTCAGAAAAGAAGAGATGCAAATGCAAACACAGAAGAGAAGTTTAATTTTCGTTTCATACGCAGAACGGATGTCCCGAGCTGGAAATTTTAATTAAATTACAGTTATACAATGCATGTCAAAACTTTATAAAAAATAACATTTTCCTTTCCTTGGAAGTAATGTTTGTTTCGGAACAAAGCCTTGCTTAAAACGCTCTCCTTATCAAATCTTGCAAAAGAACGTTCTAGTTATTTTGTGATTAATTCTCAAACGCCCACAAACAGTTCCAAGAAATGGGAAAAAGCACAGAAAATCGGGAGCATTTGGCTTCGCTCCAGAATTCTTTCCCCTTCCATATGTCTTTCACTGGGTATTTTATTTCAAATACCGTGACATTTAACTTTTCATTTTGTAAAGTTAGATTATTAACGCTATACATGCCTGTACAGCGAGTTGAATAAAGTGCTTAGAAGAAAACGCATTATCAGTGAATTCTGTTAACTCATTCAGCAGATAATTGTGCAGTTTTATTGATATCATAAAAAGTACATTGGAACTAAGATTCATTAATAGATAAAGATGCATTTGAGTTAAGTAGAACAAAGTTCTTACACCTGACCCTTTTAATACTATCGCCTATATTTACGGTACCTTGACGAATTGCAAATTTTTATTCAAGCCACTTGCTAGGCATTTAATGCTCTTAACAATTTGGAGAAAAAGATTGAATAAGATATCATGAAATCGCTTAGAAATGTATTCATATTTTAGATTTTATTGGCATTTTAGTTGTGTTTTCAGACTGCTTCTCAGCAGCTTTTCTAAGGTATAACTGAAAGAAAATTCTTCAGCCCTTTCCCCATTTTTAAGGAATTTATAAGTGAAATTTCCTAGAATGCTTTGCTCCTAAGTGGTGCATTGTAATTATTGATAAGATATGCCTAAAAGAAAGAGAAAAACTGGCAGAATTTGCTAAGAAAAATCTGAATTAGGGAATATATTTTTGGAGGTTAGGGTCAAGAAATAATAAGAAGAGAAAATTAATTGTCTTTGTTGAAATAATTATTACTAAACAAACAGACTAATATCTTATTTCTCATTTTTCAGTGATACGAGACGAAACATATTATAAGAAAATAAATTAAATAACTATATTGTGCATATGAATTCGTTAGGAGAAAGGATTTCTTGGCAGTGCATACAAAAAATTAATATTATTTAACCAAACAGTTTTGAGATAAAATAAAGTACATTAAAGGAAATACGATAATGGTAACATTGTCTATCTTATAACAAATACAAAACTCTTTGTTTTATGATAATTGCTGCAATTCTGATTCTACAGAACTAACACAATGAGACAATGAAGATGTATTAATTTATATTTATTTATTGATTTACGTATTTTTCTGAAACACTGAAGTTATAGCTTAGTTATTATAATATAAATAAATGAAATATATTTTAAAATAATTTTTTTAATTATTTCGGTAGAAAGAAGAAGCACTAAATCAAATAGCCTATGATAATAATGATAGAAAGTTAATGAACAGCAGTTATAAAGATAAAATAATTGGAAACTATTTTTAGTTTTGGATTTGAAGCGGACACAAAATTTTGAATAGAAGTTCTCCGATTTATTCGAGTATAAATCTACACAGAAATTATAATGTACTACCATTATAACGTAGAATATTCAGAAAAAGAGACAATGGACTACTTTTTTAATATTGAACTTAAAAGTTTCAGCACTGTATGCTGTGCAAATGCGGACTAAAAATGTAAAAAAATAAAATATGTAAAATAAGTGAATAAATGCAAACACATATACCATACTTTATATGGCTCTCGTAGAGCAAAACATTTAATTGCTAAAACAATTATTAAGCTTGAATAAGATTATTCACATGCTTTTAACAATATAAATGCAAGAAAGTTGCGTAATTTTACGGACATCATATGTCTGTGAAAAATTCACAGATATATGATTAATTATTTGTCAATTACAAATTTAACATCCCGTTTTCATAATGTTTTACCAAATAATAGGTTCTTGTTTACTTAACTGCTCGAATTTAGTGTACGAACAGAATTTTTTCTTAGTTCCTACTTAAATTTGGCTGAAATACTTAAAATTTCGAACAAGTATTTGGTATTTACGTATTAGCGTAACTACCTTGGCGCAGTTTGGCGGTTTCTACAGTGGAAAAAGGTGATTCGGTGAATTTAACTTAAAACTTATAAACTGTGAATTAAGCAAGATTAATTTAGGTCAAATAGATGTTCATCACTTGAAAAACTAAGATAATCGTATGAATTATCTTAGATGCTTCGAATATGACTTATTAAGGAGTTTTAAAGCTTTTAAATTTCGTAGAAATAAGGCTACTACCCTGTTTTAGCAAAGACTACAGAGTGAAACACTTTCATTTAAAAACATTTAAAATATCTTATTTTAAACAAACCTTATAGCTTCTGAAACTATTTCTGCATTTGTGTAATTAATGTTTAATATTAATTAGAGTATTAAAAGACAGTTTATTCCACTAAAATTCAACTGCAAGCGTGTACATTGCAGAAAACATTTTCTTCCTTGAACTCAAAAGAAGACATTAATTAAAGGATTTACTTTTGTCAAAGAAATTTGTTTTAAACAGCGTGTATTAAAATTTAATGTTGTAATACCAAAAATTATTAAAGCTTTGAAAAGCTTCAGAGGAGCATTATTAAAGCTTTTCACTCTATAATTTGACAGTACATGTAAAAGAAAAACATTTTAGATAGCAATAAACGTTAATTAAACATTGTGCTTGACATCTGAGACCCTCTGACATTTAGAGAAATCGAAGAAATGCAGTTAAGACTCGTATACTTAAATATATCGCAGGTTCCCCAAAAGTGATTTTAATTTCAGTTTTCAGGCTTTATAGTAGTTTCGGTTGTGTATATTAAACTGTAGATTATTGAAGATATTGAGAAATTTACTTAATTACTTTGAAAAAAACATTTCTAGCACTAAAAATACAATTCATAACTTGCAACTGTGAATCAGACCCATTTTTAAACAAAACTTTATGACATTTGCTTGATCGCTTCTTGATTTAGTTCTGAGAAATTATTAAATGAAAGTCAATTGCATTGTACAAAATTTTACTTATCACATTTATAAGAATAAGCTACTCAGCCATACACTTATCATTGTAATGAAGTACTGAAAACATTTTAACCGAAGAGACGAGCTTATAAACTCCATTCCTTAAAAAACATAAATTAATAAAGAAATAAAAATGTTCCTGTCATAATTTCAGCTTTGAAACTAATCACAAATCTATACAACGTGGAATGAGAGATAGTAAAAATAAATAGGAAAATAATATATATACAATTAATATAAATACAGTAAAGCAGAAAATTTGCAGAACTGAATAGCACAGAATTTGAAGAAAGAAGATATGCGAGGACGAGTTTCGTTGATTCATGTAATCAATTTAGTACTAACACATACCTGGAATCTGGGATCTCAGGAAGAAATCTTATGTGACAGCGAATTTTATTTTTAACCTAGGTTTTTGTCATAATCACAAAATCAAACTTAAGTTCTGGGATTTTACTGCTTTCGGGGATATGTTCAAGCATCGTATGTGGAATAACTTTATACTAGTTATTCTTATAATATTTTGTCTTTTGTATTACACATGTATAACCAGATATGGGAAGGAAGTTTATTATTCTATAATTTTTATAAAAATATATTATCTTTCAGGCATAAATCAAAGTATGATTTGAAACGTGCGCGAACATCTAACTGTTAAAAAGTTGCCGAAGATTCCGAATATTTCGGGAATTTATTCAAGTAAGATAAAATGTAGAGTGGTTGCAAAAGACATCCATTCATCTCCGGAATGGCAAGAAAAATCGTGTTCTCTGGCAAGCAGCACTCGAGCAGTCTTCAGTTGCTCTTAACGAAGTATCATTACAATGAAAAATAGGTATATTTTATTTTTAATATTTTTGAGCTTATATTTGCTCGCAACATCTTGCTCATATGATAGCTAAAGATCAGGTCAAAACTACATTATTATTTATTATTGAGACTTTAATTTATACATAAATGGTTGTAAAATATTTTATAACTAAATCGAAATTTTACATTTCAAGGCTATTCTAGTATTAGGTATGTATTTTATGTTATATATCTAAATATACGTTCTGGTATCTAAATATACGTTCTGATATATTTCAGGAAGAGACAGACGAAAGTTTAGAGCTAGTAGCTTGGAGTCGGATGAAAGATAACTTGATCTACGTTCTTTGGGAACAGATGTCCGATTCTCAAAGATTTTGAAATCGTAAGGAATGGGAGAAAGAAAGAAAAAAAAGTTATCAGTGTTGCCATAAGAAAAATAATGTGCGCCACAAAAATTTGTTTACTGAATAGATTTTCATTACTATTACTACCCTAACTTCAGTTAATTTATCATAATATACTCAAATTCAATAAAGTTAATTTCCAGCCATTTTCTCAAAAATGTTGAAGTTGCATGGTATGTTGCTAATTTTCTGTCATTGTTTTTTCTCATTATGCTTTGCCTTATGTCTATACTTACCTATAAATAGCTGAAAGAGTGTTTTGTGAATTTAAAACTTATTTAGATAATTGCAGTTACTGAAGGTTTAACATTCATATCGATAAGACTTTTTTCCTTTCACTGGAGTCAAGTCTGGTCGGCCTTCCTGATTGCGGCATGAGAATAAATTGGGTATGTAAGCCCCACACCTCAGAAACCTGGGAGTTTATCTAGATAACAAGTTAAATTTGCTCATAACATTGAGTATGTCACCCCTCCCCAAATCCAGTATATTAATTGTATTATAAAAATAATTTCTCTGCAAATGTTTTAGTGATTAAAATTTTCGCTCTCAGAAGTACATTTATATAGGACATTAGTTCTGTTATTATGTACGAGGTAGGCGCCTGAGGCACAAGGTAAGAAAAGTTGAAAACAACACGAAAGCAATTAGACACCACGCAGAAAAGCTACACGCTGGAGATTGCAGGATGCTTTTGGATGTATCGACGAAGGAGACTTATAACTTGAATAGGTAGCATCCATTTTGATACATATTTGCTTTTGCGATAAATTTTCTTCACAAGTAGGAAATATTGAAGCCACAGACAGCAATGAACACAATGAATGTAATAATGTTTTTCATGCTTTCTACGTAAACTTGATTCATCTTTCCTTGATTATATTCAGTGAAACTGTGAAACACTTTCAGTGAAAACTGTCTTTTTCCCTAATTTTCTAGCTATCTAGCCATCTAGCTAGGCTTTCTTTAGCTTTCATGAAATTGGTCTACTTTTGCATAAGATCGTGAAACCTTTAGCTCAAAATGGGAAGACACAACTCTATATTTCATTAGTTACCATTATTTTGAACCTAACATACATTATCTTTAATTTAAGTATAACTATGTACTTATCTATAATGTAAGTATGACTACACGCTGTTACATATGTAGATAAAACCCTACTACACTAGAAGGATTTTGTATTTCATGTAATATGCCTCGTAACTACGCTTGCCACTTAGCTGTTAAGCGAAACCACTTTCCTATGTTTCATCTGCGTTAGAAAGATTTATAGTTGTATCATCAAAGTTCTGTACAGCTGGAGTTAACTTACCTTTCTACAGAGATAAGTCAGTACAAGCAGTGGAAGGCTTAAGGAATAATATTATACTCTAACTGTAAAACAAAAAAAAAAAAAATATTTTCACTGTTTTTCCATACGTAATCAATTTTATTTAATTTCCACCAGATGCTAAGCATTTAATGTTAGAAAAAAAGTTATTAGCCTGGATTTTACAATTTAAAAAACAATAGAAACTAAATGAAAGCTAAGTCACAGTAGCATAAATGCGATTAACGTAATTTAACTATCAATATAAAAATTCGGGGAAGCTTTTTTGTTTGGCTCTTTCTCTATCTTAACTAAATGTAACTTAATTTTAAAACATTTACCTCACCCAAAGTAATACATGGCTAATTTTGCAATGCGTGTAATCTAAATCCAGTCATATTGGCGAAAGGAAGAATTAACTGACTGTCTTCAAGTGAAAGAAAGCCAATCAGATTAATTTCATTTCGCTATAATTTCTATAAAATTAAATTACTGATTTTCGTGCCTTTAAACTGAAAGAATGAAACTAAATGGGGAAAGCAGGCAGGTTAGCAGAAATAAAAGGTTCGTATTTTAATTAATTAATTATCATTTTAAGGAATAAGGTTTGAAACTCAATGTAATTGGATTGAAATGTACATAAATAGTATGCAACAAACGTTTTCAGTGCATTATGAGTTAAGTGTTTTCTTTCCCATTTGATGAGGAATAAAATTTCAGTAGTTCCAACAAGCAGAGTTCCAACTATTTGACACAAGCGGGACTGAACGATTATCAGATAATCAGCAATGCCTGTTACTACTGAAATGTCAAAAATAAATTACTGAAATAGATTTGTTGAATAAAAAACTGTACTTTATTACAAGTTTCGTGAAATATAAGACTGACAAAATTTTTGCATTTGAAATCAGTGCAGAAAATATTTCAATTCTGTAATAACTATAATAAAATTTCAACTATAATAAATAATTTCAACTATAATAAAATTATTTCATTAGAAAATAAAGGTAAGTTAAGTATGAAACACAATGCATCGCACAAGAACTGATAAAGAGACAGAGGTAATGAATAAATTATGATGGATGTCAAACGAAAAAAATTATATGTACAAAGTAAATTCGACAAGCTGCTTAGTAAAAATATTAGTGTCGTTGTCAGAGTAACGTCAGAGTTCCATTTCTCAGAATGACTGATTTGGAAGCAGTACGAAGGCTGCTCACAATACGGTAATGAAACCCGCATTACCGAAAGGAAAATATATTATTAATATTACTTTTTATAATGCTAAAATGATCTTAAATGCTAAATGATCGTAATTTTGATTTTAATTAAATTTTGATTGTATGTCGCATAATTAGAACTTAATTATAATTCGTCAAGATGAGTTATTGTTAAATGTAACCAGAGTTTTATTTCATATGTTGTGCTATTGTGTCCCATTATTTCCTAATGAATTCTTCTCTGTTTATGATGCTGGAGTGAAGGCTCCAACTGCACCTATAATAATAAGTATATTTTTTTTCAAATTACAAATACAACAGCAGTGACAACGCAACAACGCAGCAGACACAAAGGGGAATTTTTCATGGATTTCTTTCAATAAATGTTGATAAAAATTACCACTGTAGACTAATGGCTACTAACCTTGTTTTCTAATAGCTGCTGCAAATATAGGTTAACCACACATTTTGGGAAAAATATTGAATATTGGATTAAAATTTTTAAAGTAAAATCTTCATAATTTATCTCCTAGTTATATTATCTTAAACAAGAATGTCATTCTGAACTTAGTAGTCAACAACTAATACTTTTGAAATATAAATAATGCCTTTAAATTTATTTGTCTTTTGAGCACATGAGATACCGATAGAAAGAAGTCTCAATATTTGTATGAAGTATCTGTAAACTCGAATTATGAAAGCCTTCATATATTTCGGAGTTTCATTTAACACGGTTTCTGTACAACGTGGTGCGAAATAACCGTTTTATTGCAGTACCGTCTGTACTTCTCTGAGTTAAGAAGATAAAAATGAATTTCGTCTTTAGATATGATTCAAATTAACCAAATATATCATTAAATGGGTATTTTGTTTTATTTGAAAAAAAATTAAATGTTTTTTCCATACATCTAACTTATTTCCCAATTAGCATTCTATTTCATTCTTTTAATCGTTCGCAAAAGGTGAGAACATTTAGTTCAGGATTTGAAAAAAAAAAAAAAAAAAAAAAGACCAAAACAGCCTGATTTATATTCAAAGTTTCCTCTTCCGCTTTGGAAACTTTCCATCTTCCACGGAAACTCAATTTTAACGTAAGAAACGCCTGTATCTCTGCTTTTATTTCATTCAGAAAAATGCATGTTGATCGTCTAGCAAGAATGCTGCTACACAAGTTTAACACACACAAAAAAATCCTTGCATTTGTTTTTTGTACAATAAAAAATTTAATTAAATTACAAATGCAAATTTTATGTATTAATATATTACATATGAACGAAAACCTTAGGGAAAAATAGTTGTAATATTTAAATAAAAATTTAATTCAACGGAAACTAATTTTTCCATTACTGCACATACAGTTTTTCTCTATGTATTAGCAACAGATAAATTTACACTCACAAAACAGATTAACAGGAACTCTACGGTGAAAACTGCAATATGGTTACAATTTCTGTTGGGGTACTAAGAGTAAAAAGGACTCATTTGTAAAATTGGCTTCTATGAAATACCTTAAATATAACTTGCATTCAAATTTATGTTCGCTGATTTTCTAAAATCAAATCAATGCAATGCCTTGAAAATATTCCTTGGGCAGCCCATTGAATCTCGCCATATATTGGAGATGTTATAATTCAAGGATGAACTTAAAAAGGAAAAACTTGAGAATGAAACTTGATCGAGAAAAAGTTTTTTCTAAAGGGGATGAATATTCGGAAAAGATAGTGAAGTGATATGGTGTACCTGACAGTTAAATACCTGACAGTTAAAATTCTTGAAGGAGTAAGCAAAGTACTGAATGTTATTACGTAATTTTAACTTTGACAAGAACAGGAAGGAAATCTTAAAAAGAAATTTTTTAATACTGTCTTCCTGTCATTTCAAATTTTAATTCCAATAACATTTTGGAGTGTAAAAGAAGTGATGGCATTAATTACACTTTATAACGAAAGATTTATCAAAGGAAGCTTTAATTTGGGAAGCTTACATAATAATGCAACACAAAGAAAATGATTCCATAACACAGAAATGGCAATACATGAAAAAAAAAAAAAAAAACCCGAGGAAAATGAAAGAAACTTTTGTCTGCTTTTGTACCAATTTTAAGAACTGATCTTGAATTCCCTTCGGAAAAAAAAAGATTTATTATCATACTATTATGTTTTTAGAAAAGCCAAAAGAAAAATAGAATTTTTATCATTTAAGCAAAAGAGCAATGATCAACTCGCAGAGTAATTCATGAATACAGATTTAAGTATATACTGCAGGACAATGAATTTGTGTTTTTATCATCCTTGAGTGTATGGACTATGCATTTTTAAGAACTATCGCGTTGGTCCCGAAAAACCTTATATTTTTTAAACGCCACTTTCGTTTATGACATTTCAATTTCACAAACCTTTCTTGAGGTCCCCTTTCTTGCGAGTGCATAAAATTGAGAAATTTCTGCATAAATCAATAGAAAAGTACATACAATAGAATAATCAATAGACAAGTACAATAGAAAAGTACAATGAATTTCAATTTTAGAGCATTTTCCATTTAAAACCTTTAAAACGCTTTTTATTTTCTCGAGGTCCAAAGAATAAACTGTAACTATGAGTTGAACTAAAGCGAGGTTATGATCATC